TGGAACTCACTATGTAGACCAGGCTGGCCTTGAACTCACAGAGATCTGCCTGCCTCTGCCTCCCGAGTGCTGGGATTAAAGGCATGTGCCACCATGCCCGGCCAATAAATTATTTTTTAAAAATATTTGAGGCTTTGCAGATCCAGCTTGTGAACACTGGACTCTGTTATAATTCAAAGGCAGCCAGCCCCAGGCTATACGTAGGTGAATGGATATGGCTGTGTCCAATGAAACAAGAGGGTCATGGTGGCCTACAATTATAATAACAGTACCTGGAAGGCAGAGAATAACCACCAGGAGTTCAAGGCCAACCTGGGCTATATAGCAAGACCCTGTCTCCACAAAAAGGACAACAACAAAGTCAGCAAGCTGTCCACTCATTGCAGGCTCTAGATCTGAGCCCTTCGGACAAGGAACAAAATAAGCTACAATCCCTGCCCTGAGGAAGATTACACTTTGAGGCGGCATTCTATAAATAAGTGAGAAAAACCGTAAGAGAAAGCAAGTGGGGAATATCAAAACTGATATGCAATCTTGACTAGGGAAGTCAAGGAAATACCTTGCTGGGAAAGTAACAACTAAGCAAAAATACAAAACAGGCAAAGAAGCAAGCTATAGGAGGCAAAGCCCAGGCAAGGAGACTGGACAAAACAAGGTGCTGTGACTGAGAGTGCTTGGCAGGGCTAAGAAGGACCTGGAGGCCTGAGCTAAGATAGGGACAATCTTAGCAGATAAGTTTAGAGAGGAAGGCAGGTTAGAAACAGCCTGCAGTCCCTGTACTGGCTCTGGGAGTGAGAAGCTACTGAGGGTTAGGGCTGCAGTCATTTAAAGCATGGCTGTAGCTACTCTTCTGAAAAGAAACTCTGGGGTAGGAAAAAGCACAAGTATGGAAGCTAGGAGACCCTTGTCTGAGGCTACTGCCTGTCTGGAAGCTTCTGTCTTCCCAACACGGGCAAGAAGAAGCTAACAGCTAGATGCATTCTGAAGAGAAAGGCAATAGCTAACATTCAAGGTTTGGTTCTGAGTAACTAGAAACCTTAAGTTATTATAAAATAATTTCATTGCTCCTAGTAAACATCTTTTCTTCCATTTTGGGAGTATAATTTTTTCTGCATTCCAATTTAACACAGATTGTACTAACAAGAACTTTCAAAAATCTCACCCTGTTCCTATCAGCATATCACTGAATCTTTGTGAGAGGTTGCAAAAGGGGGTATGGTCTCCTTCCATCAAAAAGATGTCTCTTCTTCTATCCCTTGAATCTGGGATGCCCTATGCTAGCTTCCGACCAGTGTGACCTTAGCAAATGCTGATCCTGGGGCTCTGAGGCCACCATGAAAGAGTCCAACCTGCCCTGCTTGCTAGACCATGAGAGTCTACATGGACTGGTCAATGGCTTGCCAATCCTAAGACGTGTGAATGAAACCATCCAAAACAGCCAACCAGAGAGCACAAACTAGCCTAACCCAGAATAACTTCCCAGTAGACCTAGAGAATCATAAGCTGAAAGCTGGTTGATTCAAGGAACTCAGTTTGAGAGTGGTTTGCTGTGTGGCACAAACTCACTGATACAGTCTTAAAATGCCACAATTTTCTAAAAGAATGAATGGAAGAAAGGGGGAAAGAGGGAGAAAAAAGGGGGAAAGGAAGAAAAAAGGGGGAAGGAGGGAGAAAAGGAAAAGAGAATTATCATTTAAAAATGATTTGGGGGGAGGAGGTATAAAGATGAATAAGATGTTCTGTATGAAATACACAAAAATTCAATTAAAAATTTTTTTGGTAGGTAGCTTTTTTTTAATCTAAGATTTTAATTTTTTTCATTGCTATTTTGATTGTCCCAAACATGACACTTTTCTCCTCCACATATCTGTGAAAGAAAGTGAAATAGAACAAAGCTAGCAAAATGAATATCAGAGCATTTCATATTTAAAATTACCAATTTGGCTCAAAATAAAACATTTTAAGTTCAAGATTTATACCAATTTATAAATCAAAGGTGGAAACTGAGGAACCCATTAAGAAAAACACTCTTGGGTATCCTGGGCACAGCTTGATGTCTGCTAGAGCCTCGAGCTCTTGTTAACACTCTGAACCATCTGCTACATGCCAGAGCCCATTGCAGACTGACCCCAATTCCCTTCTGTGCATGGCATATGCTTCTGTTTGGCCAGAGCAATCAGGACACCTGTTAGGAAGCCCCTCAGTTTTTCCTTCCCATTCCAAACATGCTGTCTACACTCGTCCTCTTAAACTTCCTCTTTAGTTAAAAAAGGTCACCTGTTGCATACCTCTGTGTCTCTCTCCTGTTTACTTGACTCTCTGAACCCACTTCCCCTGCACTATTACCTCCCCATTCAGCTGCCCCTGCCCTGGCCTGCCAACACATAGATACAGCTCTTAGCAACCTTTCTATGGCCAGCTTACAACACAATCTCTGTCTACACATGATAGTTCCTAAAAGGTTATTCTCATGGGTGCTTTCCCTGGCTCCCCACCACACTACTCCATGTTCAGCTATCAAGCTTTGGAAGTACCTCACCTAGAAACATCCTCAGAGGTCAGCCCTCAGAGCTAGGTCTCAGTTCCTAGTCCCACTGAGCCTCACTTTTCTGTATCATCAGGCTTTCTGATCTTGTATGCCTTGAACTCTCTCTTCTCTCTTTCCCCTGGGCTTCTGGGACAACACACTTGCCCAACATCCTTCCAGTTACTCAATCTCTTTCCTCTTTATCCGGGCCATGGAAGAAGGGACTGCTCCAATGCCCTGCCCCAAATTTGTGACCACCACTCACTCCTTTTTCCTTGATGTTTCTACCCCCTTCTCCTAAGCTTAAGTCACATATATTTCTGCTGCCCAGGCAACACCTATTCTTGAGTGTCCCATAGGTACCTCAAATACAGACTGCTCAGAGCCTCCCAAATCTGGTTCCCCTCCAGAGTTCCTGCAGCTACAATGGCACCTCACAAGTCAGATTGGCACCCTGAGAGCCTTAGTCTTCTCCCCCTCCCCTGTGGCCTGTCTCACAGATAGCACCACTTTCTTTTCTCATAGCTTCCACCTTGCGGTGTCAGGCCTCAGCAATTCTCAAGCAGAGAAGCAGCTCTCTCATGGGTGACAGCATTAGCCCACCACCCACCCCCACCAATCTCACTACCTCCATGCACTTACCACCTGACAGGACACTTGTCTCAGGGGTAAATATTTTTAAGAACGTTGACAAAACAAAGTCCAAATGCCTTAGCCTGGGAGTCAAGACTCCTGGTAAACATAATCTGATTGCCTGTGTGCCTCATTCACATACCTTGTGTATCAAGAAAAAGAAACACATTCCCCACATATGCCCTGAAAGCAGCTTTGCTGCCTTTGCTCAGGCTTTCTCTCCCTGCAGTGCCTCTGTCCTCCTCTTGAAGTCCTACTTTCAACCCCATCCACCCACCTACAATCTTCAGGTTGAGTTCATCATCAATGACTAATAGAGTATAATGAAACCTCCATAAAACCCAAAAGAACAGGGCTCAGGGGGCTCCCAGGTTGGAGAGTGGTGTTCCCCAACTCCAAGGCAAAGAAACTCCTGTGTTTAGGACCTTCCAGACCTCATATACATAGCTCTTCGTCTGACTGTACATGTGTAACCTCTAAAATCTGCATTTTCCACTATAATACAGTGAGTGGATGAACACTGGAGGAAATGTAAATAGGTAATCAAAAGGCAAAAGCAGTGATGGTAGCTTCCCCTTACTGACTAGCTTGGTGCTGAAATCCTAGGGTATCTGTCAACCTGTTTCACACTGACAGAAAGAAAACATGCAAAGAGAGGCTAAGCAATGCCCATGAGGAAATAGCAAGAAGGCTGGCTCCCTGGTTATACAATTCTCCCACCTAAATACCTATAGTTGGTTTGTTTTCCAAAGAATATTTTACAAACGGTCATAAGTACAACACATTAATAAGGCAGGAAATCTCAGAATGGAGATGGGGGCAAAGGAGACAATTTTCATTTTCACTTCACATCCCCTTTAATGGACTTTGTTGCTTTGTTTGGGGTTTTGCAACAGGATCTTACTTTTTAGCCCAGACTAGCCTTGAATTCATGGTCCTCCACCTCTACTTCCCACAGAGTTTGAATCCGAATTTTTAGTTGTATATGCATTCTTTCTCCTCCTTGCTCTCTAAATAACTTCTCCCTTTGGAACTCACACCTTCTGTAGGTTCCTTCTATTTTCCCTTTAGCCATCTGCTGTTCAATTAACACCTGTGCAAGGGAAAGCTCAGGGGAAATGAAGATGCCAGCCCATCCACCAGGGTGATGTCTTGAAGCCCTGGTAAAGGCTTGGAATGAAAGAAAGTTTAAAAATACAGGATTTGTGGCTCATGATATGCATAGCTTCTAAATTTTCTTGAATGCTTAAAAAAAAAAGTTAGAGAAATGCTTACCTTTTAATTTCAAACTATTTTCCAGTGTTATAAAATTTTCATAAAAGATGAAATATATCTGAGAGTAGTTGGTCTCAAAAAACTGCTTAAGATCACTTGCATCCACATTATCTGAAAAGAAAAGTTTACGTTTATATGATTATTAGACTTTAGAAACACTTTCAGAAATCAAGGAAAGTAAAGCTAGTCTTATCCCCTTATAGGACAAAAGGAAAGAGTATTCTCAATTGTTTATTCTCCAAATAAACAATTTTCCCCAGGGGCACCCACCATAGAGTTGTGCAGGAGGCCACAAGGCCCACTGGAGGAGGTCAGAACCCATGGGGACACACTACCCATAGACCAGCCATAAAGTCAGAGGTACAAGAAGTGGATGGGTCTGGGAAAAGACAGATGATCTTCTTTGGGAGCAAGGAGACATGGGGTTTCATAGAAGAGGCAGCTTCGATATAGGCCTCAAAGAAGAATGAGTTTGTACCTCTGAAAACCAAATTTGGTGGTGGAGGTCTCACATGGACCAATCTTTCCTCCTTTCCTACCATCATAATACTCTGGGCATGAAAAAAAGAAACAGTTCAAGTGATTTAGTTTGTGTTCCCAACCACATCCCCCCAACCACATCCATGCATCGGGGTCACATGGGCCCTCCTCCTTCTAGCTCCTAGGCACCCTGACCCTGTTCCTTCTCAGACACTGTGGATTATGTATTCTAGAGCTGCCCCTTTTGTGCCAGACAGTTTTGCTATGATCAGGGACTGCACATAGAGAATGGTATAATGACCATTCCCAGGGGGGCTACTTCTTTCCAGGGGCCTTATCAACCCAAGCAAAAACCTCACAGCTGGGTATCAGAGCAGTATTCACTTTCGACAAATCTTCATCCATTTTTCAGCTAGCAAGGTTGTTTGTGCCATCTACAGGGTCCTATCAAGGGATCAATGCTCTGGTTTTATACATAAGTGTGCCGAATAGCTTCAGTTGTCAACTTGACACACCTGGATAGAGGGAACCTCAAATGAGGAATTCTCTCCTTTGGATTAGTCTGTGGCCATGTCTGTGGGTCATTTTCTTGATTGTTGAGTGATGTGGGAGAGTCCAGCCCACTGTGGGCAGTGCCACCCCTGGGCTGTGATCCTGTGTTGAATAAGAAAGCAGGCTAAGCACTGGACAGAGAAACAAGTCACTAAGCATCATACCTCCATGGTCTGTGCTCCAGGTTCCTGTCCTGAGTTCCTACTCTAGCGCCCCTCAATGATGTAAGCTGTAAGATGAGCTAACCCCTTTCCTCCCCAAGTTGGTTTTTGTCGATGTTTTTATCACAGCAATAGAAAATAAATAAGACAATACGTAATGTGAAGAAAATTAGAGAAACAGCCTTAAAATTCTAAAGAGTACTCAAGAAAAAACAGAAAAATTATGTTGCTATTCAATCTGTAGCAGAATAGTGTCACCTGCTCTTGTAATCCTAACACTGTAAATACGTGTGGCAATACTCAGTGCTATGTCCAATTTCATACAGGTGATTCTATACAGTGGTTTTCCTTTGGTTGTCATATAAGGCCCTTTTATTTGAAAATCTTCCCCAGTTCTATGCACATAAGGAGTTTATAAACGCATATGAACTGCCAATTTCATATTACATTTACTTCCCAAAATAAAACAGTAGAAATTTCTAGTAGTTAATAAATTTATCTGTGTGAAAACAGGCAACAATGAAACTAGCATCATCAATCCACGTGAACACAATCATTCTTTTATCCATCTATTTACTTGTTTGTTTATAGACAAGGTCTTTAACCTAGACTGGCCTCCAACTCCCTATGTAGTAGACTTTAAACTTAGATTCTCCTGCCTCCACCTCCCAAGTGCTGTGCCTGGTTTTATATAGTACTAGAGATTAAACCCCGAGTCTGATACATGCTAGGGGAGCACTCTACCAACTGAACTACATCCTTAGCCCTGAATACTATCGTTCTTATAAAAAACACAATCTGGCCAAAGATTCCTTGACAGCCTTATTCAGAATCTGTGTGTTGTAATTCCAATTCAAGCCGCAAGCCCATCTGTCACTAACTGCCCTTTCTGCCAAAAGCACACAAAGCCCAGGTGGCCCTAGTCACCTCTCACTATCAACTAAAACATACCACCTCACTGCCAGTTTTTCTGTACCTGTGTTTGTGACCTCCACCCTGTTCTTCTCTGTCCTAGAACACATCATGTTTTACTTCATTCCTCATGGCATGCTGAATTTCTGATTAATCATGTCTCCATTAGATACAGTCTGTACCATCACAAAACCTATTGCCCTGCTCATACACCATTATACTCCCTCCCTGAATCTAGCACAATATTAAGTCAATTGTTTTCCTGAAACAATTGAATAAAGGAAATGTCTTATAATATTCAATAATAAAATACTGATTATAACTTGTAGACCTATAAGAAAGCATTCCTAAGGCTATCAGAACATAAATTTCATCTCTCTGCTTAGGATTCCCAACTTCTACCCGCAGCCCTACATCTTCCCCTGCAAGCTCCTCATCACAGCCCGTGGTCCATGTGAGGATCTTAGGGTGAAAGACATTTTCCCTGTAGTGTCTAGTTGTTTCCTGAGGCTCTCTTATTATAGCAGCTTACCATGACCAGCAAACAATTGCTTGAACTGAAGCCTAAACTTCTCAGTCACTCCTTCATTGTCCATTCCTGGGACTCTGCCTGTCAGTCCCAGTTCAACCTATGTCCCTGACCTGAACTGCTTCTGCCCTCCAAGGCTCTTCCTAGTCTACATCACCATGAATCATCACAGGGGCCATAACTACAACTGCTTCAACTCTTCCTCCACTGCCATGGCAGCCAACAGAAAAATGTAACAATCATGTCAGCTCACTCCTCTATGTGAATGTCCAAGAGCTTCCAGCATAGTTCTCCAAATAAAATTCAGACTCTACCAAGGCCCAGAAGGCCCTGAACAATTATCCCAACCACCTTCATTGAACATCACTGTCTCCCTCAGGCCCACTCTAAGCACTGTGGCTTCTTTAGAGTCCTCAAAGTCCCCAGACATGTTCTCCACTTTGGTCTCTCAGGGGTACTGGCCCCATCCCAGATTATCCTACAGTTAGCTTGGTCTCATCCTCAAAGAAATTCATAAATGTACTTAAGTGTCACTCTGCATTTTTCATCCCCTCGCCTGCCTTCTTCTTTGCAGTGAATGGGCTTCAAACGCAGGTAGCTACAAGGAAGCAAATCATTTCCTTAGCATGGCAGTGGGTACAAAAGTAGCAAGATGGCGCAGAAAAGTTACTGGACAATCAGCAACTCTCCCGCCTTCTCCCCACCCCTTGATCCCTCCAAGATATTGAAAATAACCACCAACCAGAATAAAGGCAGGTCTCAAGAACTTTGAGGAGCCTTCATATAGACCACAATGCTCTCCTGATGTCAAAAGCCCAGGTAGCAGTCACCTTCCTCAGTCGGCCAGACTCTTTTCTGTGGATGAGAGCTTAAAGCATTCACTTGTAGAACAAGTAGATACCTTCCAGGTTGCCCAATGCACAGTGAGGCCAAGGGCACAGCACTGGTTATATCTTCAGTTCATCTACACCACTTGAGGATTCTTCACTGTCCTAGGAGTCCTCATCACAAGAATCCCTACAACAGCATTAAAGCCAGTTGAAATTCCCTGACTTGTTCATTTATTTCTGCACTGTTCAGCACCCCTACCAGAATGGATACTTCATGGGAGAAGGAAGTCCATCTGCTCTGTTCTCTGCTGTACCTCCTGCCCCAGGAAATGACCTTGGTACTTTAAAGATACTTGGTACCTGTGCTGATAGCTTCAGTTGTCAACTTGACACACCTTGGAAGAGGGAACCTCAACTGGGGAACTTCCTATATAGGACTGCCTGTGCCCATGTCTATGAGGCATTTTCTTGATTGAGTGATGTGGGTAAGTCCAGCTCATTGTAGGTTGTATCTCCCTCCCCCTGGCATGTGGTCCCAGCTGAGAACAGGCCAGGGGAGCAAGCCAGTAAGCAGCGTTCTTCTATCATCTCTGCTTCAGCCCCTGCCTCCAGGTTCCAGCCCTGAGATACTGCTGTGGCTTCCCTTAAAGATGGACTGTGCCTTGGAAGAGTAAGATGAATTAAACCCTATCCCCCCCAAGTTGTTTTTGGTCAGTGTTGTTATTACAGCAATAGAAAGTAACTAGAGCAACACCTATTTATTAAATAAATGAACAAAGAATAAATATCAAATAAATATGAAATGTTTTATGAATCCAATTCAAAAATCTGAAGAATATAGAACAAGGCTAGGTCTTGAGGAAGACACTAAAATTCAGCATCCTGCAAAAACAGAATATAACAAAGTATCAAACATCAGATTTTTTAAATTTTTATTTATTACTTTTATGTGTATGAGTGTGTTGTCTGCATGTATATAAGTGCACCTGTGTCATGCAATGCCCATGGAGGTCAGAAGAGGGCATTGGATTCCCCTGGAACTGGAGTTATGGATAGACAGTTGTTAGCTATCATGTGGGTAGTGGAAATCCAACCCAAGTCCTCTGCAAGAGAAGCCAGTGTTCTTAACCCCTGAGCCATTGCTCCAGTCCCCGAACACCTGATTTTCAACAAGGCTAATTTCAAGAAGCATAGACATATAAAGGAAAGCTTTGCTCAGGAGTAGGAGGTTGGGGGAAACCTACTATAACCACAAATTTCCTTTATACAGACTTTTTGACTAATTCATTCACTTACTGAGCTCCTACCCATGCAAACTAGAAAGTGCTTAGATATTCAAAGTGAATAAAACCCCAAGGCCATCAAGAGTTTACAAGAAAACATACCAGCAACAGCAAGGACACCATGGATGAAGTCACGCTGAGCATCAGGACAAGGAAAGGATAACACCATACAGGCAGATTGGGGATATTAACAGAGAATACATTTATGGTCTGCTTTATGCTTTAAGACACTCTCATGATTTTATGCTATCCCACCTTCACCACAACCCTCTGAAGCAGATGGGGCAGGTGTGGTTAAAAAAACAAATAAACTCAAGATCAGGATCTCATTTGACCTGCTCAAGATAACACAGCAGTCAGGGCC